CGCCCACAGCCCATCAGACCACGCCCCTCCGTGAACGCGCCCCTCCGCTGTGTGGCCACGCCCCGGCGGGGGGGGCTGGAGAGGGGGAGCCCCAGCGGGATTTTGGGGGGGTGGTTCTGGCCCCTCGGTGAGGCCCCTCGGTGTCCCCGCGGGCTTGGTGTCTGCCCGCACGGCTGTGCACGCACGCCTGTATGGGGGTCTGAATGCAGAGACATGGGCAGATACCTGCGTGCAATCCCATAACTATATACAGCTCGTTAGTTATATACTATAGAAATTAACAAAGTTTTTATAAACTATATATGGCTATATAGGTAGTTATAACCTAACTATATGCAGTGATATATATGACAAATATAGTGATATGGATGGTTATAAATTAACTATATAGTTACATATACATTATATATTAATATGTATAAAAAACCACATATGTATAACTACACATATAGGGTGTACATATATATATATATACACATATATATATAACTATACATATAAAGGGTACGCCTACAGACCTGTATGTGCAGCACACACCTGGACACATGCTCACACACACCTCAACCCAAAATCAGCAGTTGAACTCATCCACCCTGGGCCCCTGGCAGGACCCCATGTCCCCAATACCCACCTCATGTCCCTGACACCCACCCAGAGTCCCAATGCCCCCAGGCCATGCAGGGGCTGCTCCTGCCCCAGGGACCGTGTCACACGGATGAGTTTTGTGTCACTTTAATGGCAGATGGCCATCCCACAGTCACCCTCCGGCGCTGGCCTGCCAGCAGGAAGGGGAACCCCCAGATCAGTCCTCTGCTCCCAGAGCCCTGCTGGCAGGGCCATCCATGGTGGGACAGGATGCTGGGATTCCTAGTGGGACAGGACATGGTGTTCTCTGGTGGGACAGGGACATGCTGGGATCCCTGATGGGAAAGGGCAGGACTCCGGGATCAAGGTGTGACAGTTCATGCCAGGGATGCTTTCCTGCCGTCACCCCATGGTGACCAGCAGTGCCAGCCCAGGGTCAGGAGGGTGGCAGTGGCATTCTGGTGGCAGAGGCAGAGGTGTGGCCACGGTGCGGTCGGAGCCTGGGGACAGCAGGAGATCCCGGGGGGGCTGTGCCAAGCCAGGGGGCTCAGAGGAACACGCAGAACCTCCTGGGTCTCGTTTTGCGCTGCCGCCGGCGGGCAGCACTGATGGCGGCACTGCAGGCTGTCACAAAGATGTTCCCGACGTTATCCTGGTACCTGGCTGAACATTCCATGTAGGACACGGCACGGACCTGCCGGGCCATGGCCTCTCCCTGCGGGGACACACAGAGTCAGACCCCCCGGGACCCCGCTGTCACACTATCCCGTGCTGGGAGCCATCCCTGTCCCGTCCTGTCCCACAGGGAGATGACACACACCTGGTGGCGGGAGATGGGCTCCATCCGTCTGTCCTTCAGCTTCTGCAGCACCTCCTGGTCCTGCCGCAGGTCTGTCTTGCAGCCCACCAGCAGCACTGGGACCCCCTTGCAGAAATGGTTCACCTCCGGGTACCACTGTGAGGGGACCCAGGGATGGGCACATGTCACCCAGGGCTGGGGACAGGGGACAGGCAGCACCCCCGGGGCTGCATTACCTTTGTTAGGATGTTGTCAAAGCTGTTGGAGTCGGTGACATCAAAGCACATGAGGACAACGTTGGCATCTGAGTAGGACAGAGGGCGAAGCCTGTCATAGTCTTCCTGTCCTGCCAGGTGGAGAAGGAAACCATTACATGCCAGCCTGGGACCGTGGCAGTGACATTTGTGGGGATGGTTGTGGGTTTAACCCCCCCTCTCCATGGTCATGGCCTGGGGACATCCCTCCAAAGCATGACCAATGTGTGTGGGACACCCTGAAACGCCCAGGTGGGAGAGTCGGGGGCACAACTGCCTGCCCTGTCCCCATCTGTCCTGCCCTCCTGTCCCACCTGCTGTGTCCCACAGGTGGATCTTCACGGGCTTGCCGGAAACCTGGAGGGATGCTGTGTACTTCTCGAACACGGTGGGGACGTAGACCTGGCAGGGGACAGGGAGGGTGTGATACAGGTCACACAGGCAGCCGTGGGGGCCAGCAATGGAGGGGACCCCAGTGATGATAGAATAGGGCATAGGGAGGGAAGCGGGGAGTGGGAAAAAGTGGTTCCCCCCTGGGGCAGTGGGATGGGAAACACCCTTGTCCCCCATCCCAGGGCACTCCAGAGAGTCATGGATGCCCCTGGGGGGACCCGGGGATTCAGGACAGGAGTTCTGGAGTCTCTGTGGCCGCACCCCTTCCCTCCACTCCCTGAGTCCCTTATGTGCCCTGACTGAGAGACAAACCCTGCTCCCCACCCTGCGACCCCCAAAGAGAGGCAGAGGTGTCACAGACCCCCCCAGCAGCCCCAGGCTGGGCCACCCCCTGTCCCCCTGTCCCCATAC